TGCGGATCCTTTTGTGGTAAATATCATGTCTAATTTCAAGAAAACTTGCAGCAGGGTAGATGTCGTGTTCAATTGCTGCAAAGACCCACTGATCCAGGATGTTACTAGAAAACATTGAATTGGGAAAGGAAGGGAAATAAGAGTTGAAATTAGCAGCAGGGACATCATGTTGCCTGTATAATGGAGAATATTCATTAAATCCAAGGAAAAGAAAGCATCGCTTGTTATGTTCCTCAAAAGGGAACTCTTACAGCAAGCATCACACAGTGACAAAGAACTAATAGTCAGTGGTAGTAATGATGGTTATGCTGCCTCCTCAACTGGAAGAAACATAGACCACCTCCACTCCACACAAGAAGAGGCAGACACCCGCATGATCTTGCATCTCTCTGAGGCAAAGTCAGAAGGATATGACAGAGTCATGGTCACAAGCAGTGATGCAGATGTCCTGTTGCTACCGACTGCATTCTGGCCTGGTCTCCGCAGTGAGCTGTGGATGAAAGCAGGCACATCAATAATTCAACGATACATTGCTGTGCACAAAGTGGAATGCTGTGATGAACTAACGGATGGACTGCTGGCCACCACAGGGTGTGATACCACAAACCAGCTTGCAGGAATTTCTAAGAAGTTTGCTTGGAAGATCTTCTGTGAAACTCTAAATCTCCTATCTCAGTTTGGAGTATCTCACACACCAGATGCCCAAGTATTGGCCAGAGCCAAGGAATTTGCATATAAATTGTATGAACCTACAAGGGAGACAAATTCCATTTACACCTTGCAGGGTGCTCAGTTCAGAAAGGGAAAGAAGTGGAAGCTTAAAAACCTGCCACCAACACAAGATGCACTACTTCAGCACATCCATTGAGCCCACTACCAAGCCTTAATTTGGCAAAATGCAATGGTGGCAAATCCACAGATTCCAAGTCCACAGAAAGTGGATGGCACATCGAGCATGGCACGCTGTTGCCTCTACTGATGACAACAAAAGGCCTTACAGGTGAGTGCTTGGACATCACAACCTGTGGATATAAAACAAGTGGACATCAATGTACTACATTGTTTGTGCAATAGACTCAAACTGAGATGCACAGCAGCTTGCAAATGTGTGGATTGGTTTCAACACCACATAATAATGACCATGACAGTGACTAGATTTATGCGTGAATTGAATGCTTCACATGATATGGTTTAGAAAATATTGTAATGTTTACTTGAGGATCAGATTGTAATCCAAAAATTAAAAAAATCAACCAAAAAACATTGTCTGTTACTTTGTTGATTTTTGGACCCCTATTAAAAAAAAATTCATGTCCACATTGTAACAAAAAAATTGCACAAACTTCACTTTTTCAGTATCTGCACCCTAATTTATGGGGTCTTGGGGGATCACAATTTTAGGGATAGGCCTGTTGGTTTGGGGCTTTATGATGGAATAGGACTTTTGTATGTTACCAGTGGAGGAGTAGGACTTCTGGGGATCAGAAATAATTAGTGGTGGGGCATATGGGGTCCTGAAGGAAAGATTTCCATCCTTTAAGGGGCAGTGGGAAGTTTTGATTGGTATCATCCTCCCTTTTCCAGGAATCTGTCTTTGACATCCAGTTCTGTCTGGCATGACACATTGGGGAAGCTGGATAGGTTTTTGCCTCCTCACAGGAGCTTCTGCCTCTATGATATGGCCCATAGTGTCTATAGTCACCATGTAGTCCAATGGAAAATCTTTGCCCTTAAACTTGTCCAACACAAAGAACTTTTCCATAGCCCTGAAATTAAGAAAGAAGTGTGTTAGCTTTTATTCACTTGGGAGATAATCTCCATCTAATTCAGCCCACACCCTAGTTCCCTGCAGTCAATGAGAATAGTTGGCCTGTCTGACAGAGCTCAGAAAAAAACTCAACCAAACAAACCCAGACCTTTAGACAATCAGGTTATTTGTTGTTTGTAAAGGATTGAGTTCCCTGCCCTGCCTCCTGCAATACACCCTATGAGCATAACCTTAAAGTATAACTGGCCAGCAAAGAGAGTCACCTAAGCATTAGCACAATGGCATGAGGCACCTACTAAGTACTAAAAGATCGTGTTAGCAATGTCCACCCATGTGGGAGATCTGAGTGGCTAAATGATCCTCAACACTTTAGGATGTAGTATTAAATCACCACATAGGGCATTATGAGATGCATGGCTTGAAGCATTAGCAACGCATAGGGCTGCACATGGGTGCATGTGCACCCCCTGAGCTTGGCGGTGCACCCACTGCAAAAAGCACTGCTGACACTGCCGGTGGCGCCTGCAGGTGGTCACTGCTCACCACCCCTGCCTCCCTTGCTGCCAGCAGTGTCTGCAGGCAGTCTCCAATCACCGCTGGCTGCTGCCAATGCTGCCAGCCGTGTCTGTGGGTGGTCACTCCCACCATGGCTGCCTGTGGGAGCTCCCCACTCACCGCAGCCATGCACTCACTGCTGCCACTACCGCTGCCGCCTGATGGCAGCCGCTGTGCCCCCTCTCCCCCTCAGCCTCCAGGGGCATGCGGTGTTCATGGCTTGAGGTAATGGAGCCTACAACACAATTGGGAGTGTTTTTAGGGGTTCTGTTAACTAGTATCCTTATACTATTTGTTTTCAGAAATCTTTAAAAATGGGCATCGTTTGGTATTTTTGGCTTCACCCCTCTTTGCTTACAGGGAATATCTTGGTCCTTCAGCTACACTAAAGACCGTGAGGTCCTCAGGTACCACAGTGATGGGCAGCTACATGACTATGGGTGGGTGAGCAGGGCACCAAGCCAAGGCGCCTATTTAAAGTGGTGCCAGAATGGCAGCCCAGGAGGAGCCTGCACAGCACCAGAAACAGCCTCTGAGGTGTGGGTGACTGTGTAGCAGCAGCAGCAGCAGCCTCCAGTGCGAGGAGAGACTGTGCCACAGCAGAAATGAGAAATCTGGCAGTTTGCAGTGCTGGCCTTTGAAGTGCATTGATTTTGATTAGTAGCTTGCATAGTTCTAGCACTCATACTTCTATTAACTCATCACGGATATTCTTGATTTACACTGTTGATGCACTGCATCCTGAAACATTTACTCAGAGTCTGATTTTTGACACACTTACTCACATTGAGCAGAACTGGGTCACAGTTTCCAAAGCCTCTGATTTGGGAACCCGCATGCCAATTTCAAAAGTGATTTAGAAGCCTAAGTCTCAATGAAAGCTATTTGGGTGCAAAAAGGGGCAAGGGTAAATGTCCATAAGTGCCTCACCTGCCAAGTGTTTTGCTGGCAGGTGAGGCACCTGTATGCACCTATCTGAATTTGTGGGAACCCTTGGATGGTGAGGCCAAAGTCACATTTGAAAATGGCAGCCAACACGCTTTGGAAAATGTTGTCCTTCATCTAGTTTCCTAATAAGTTTCTTCTTTAGCTTTCACTATTAATACATATGTGGTACCCAAGGAGAAAACCTTCCCCATACAAATACAAGGTTATAATAGAAACAACAACGAACAGTTTCCAGTTCTCCAAGGGAATCTCACCTTTCAAAGAGGTGCCTTTTCTCATCATGCTTGTCCAGTACCTTGCTAGAAAACCCTCCAGTTGTTTTGGCAGGAGCCTGTAGATGGAGCAGGCGCTTTTCAGGAAGAGTCTTTGTAGCTATAAAACAAAAGGAAAAATCTCAAAAACAGCATCTCTGCAACAGCCCAGGCAAGAAGAGCAAGAAAAATTGCTGAGGGACTACACTGCTGGGATGCCAGGCCAGAAGGCATTCCCCTGCTCCAGAATGGTCTTAAGACACGGATCCTGATCTCCTTCATAGAAAAATTTTCTGTAAGGTTTAGTACCTAAAAGACATAATGATAACATAGGTCTTTCCCAGTTCTTCTTTTCTACTGTGGACCACCATACTCCCAGAGCACACTTTTCCATGTTTTCCCATGATCCAATGAATGGGACAGTCAGTTCTCTTGGGAGTTTGCAGGCAGCCAACTAGAATCCATTGTCAGAAATAATATCTTGAGGTTGGGGTTGACCGGCAGCTGGTCTAAATTATGTAGCTCTGGGATCTGACCCATTAGGTTTTCCTTTGCAAAAAATGATCAGGGCTGCAATAAGTCTGGTCTGTTGTGAGGACTGCAAACAAGGACTTATGAGATGGATGTAAGTAAATCTATTCAAACAGAGATTATTTACAGCACTGCTGAGCACATGAGCCTCCCTCCGAACTCAGTAAGAGCTGTAGCTGTCTGCAACCTGCACAGCAATCCTTTTTCAATTCATGATTTTGACATAAAAATTAGTTAGCAGGTCTTTGAGTGTCTTATGACTGGGTTGTATCTTGCATTTTGTACATTGGCAGGCTGGTCTGATTCCATTCCTAGGTCCAATGTAGGCTTCATCTCTTGCTGTTAAGAGTACACAGGGAAGTTAATCATATTGGCAGTAGAAGTTAAGGTCTGAATTTAAAACGTCTGTGGACTTCAGAAGATTGGCACAATGTGGGATTTTCCCATAAAATGGAAACAAGCTCACATTCTTATCTGACACACACCCCTTTCCCTTTCCACAATATACTCTGGGTAACATGATTGACTAGAAACAGCACTTCAGCTGGATCTGAATTATTTGAACTGTTGGGTTCTTCAGTGATGCCTTTCCATGATCAATGCCATGCTCTATCTACACTATAGGCGCTACACACAATTGTAAAACGAGCACTGTGATACACTTTAGATCTGGCTCTGGCCATCTAATGACTAGATCGCAAATCATCGGCATCTCTTTTCAGCTTATCCTTATTCTACCTACAGTTTTTGTCTGTATTATGAGGAAGATCTTTTGCTGTTTGCGTTACGGGTTTTTCTTTCATAGTCATGTCAGCCCCTTCTTTGATAGTTACTGTGCCGTCTTTCTTTTCGGTTTTCTTCTGTTCAATGCTGGAAGAAAGCAAAAGACTTGAGTTTCTTTTGTAAAGTCAGCATCTGAATAGAGAACTCCCTGTTTGTACTGCAGTTGCACTAACAATCTAGTCACACCCAAATGAACAGAGCTATTGTAAGGACTGTGCAGAGTGGCACCTTTTAGACTGACTAGTTTAGAGAGGCGAGAGCTTTTGTGGGCAGCAAGTTATTTCCTCAGATGCTATGCTATAGGTTGTTTCCCACAAAAGTTTATGCCCCTCAGGCCAGTTAAACTCCAGGATGCCATCCTGCCCTACCTTCCACATGACTTCAGACTGATATGCCTAATCACCACCACAAGGACAATGGCTTTCAAAAAATGGTCATAAAAAAGCCTGAAGGAATATGCAACTCAAAGGATTTATATTGGACAGTATGAACAATAACAAGTAATGGACAATAACAGCAGTAAACCCAGCCTTGATGGGATCTTTCCTGAAGTGCAAGGTAATTATTTTGCACTGTAATTAGCTAATTATTTTGAGTCATTTACCTCTGTCCAGGCCTGTTTATCCTAAAAGACTCTAAAGGCTAATAGGTTTGAACAGCATGAGTGTTGATTTGAGTCGTGCCATACTCACGCTGCTACAGTCTTTGGCCCCCATGCATCGTATACTCTCCATACACCAAACACTTCAGAAAACCCCAGTCCTTCTCTCAGTGCTCTGCTTAATACTCTCAGACATTGGGAACAGGGTTCCTTTAATAGCTCTGTCTGCAGTGAACTAAGGATCTTCAGCAAAGTGGGAGTGGACCAGAACAAGCTAATCAATGAACTGGAAAAGAAACAACTGCTTTTACCTTGGGAAGACCAGAGGTCTGGTCTCATGGGAAGGAGAACTGATTTGTCCAGAAGCGGGTCTTACTGAGTCTGCTGTCACAGGCTTCTGCAGTAACAAGAGACAATCCAGATGACTTGACAGATGTTAGCAAGCAGACAACAAACAAGGCAAACCTCCTTTCTTCTACAATAAAATCCTGGTGCTGATGCTCAAAAATCCTGGTGGAAAATTCTATCTCAGTAACATTTACCCTTCATAACTGTTTATGGGTAAGTTTTTGGCCTCTTATCATGGCAAGACATCTTCTAACATGAGACAACATGCATAGCTCAGAGAAAGGGATTCAGAAGATCCAGGTTCAGAACGTGCTACAGACTTCTTTTGTGTCCTTGAACAAGTCACTTAAGCCCCGATCCTCCAAAATAGCAATGCATGCAACATTGATTGCACTGGGAATCAGAAATCGAAAAACCTTCAGGGACCTGAGCAGCAGGGCAGGGTAAACTACAAAGTAATGTCAAGCCAAACATGTTGGATTTGGGGCGGGGGGGGCGGTATTTTTAGAACATAGCTTCAGATTCCAAATGTCCTGGATAAGCTGCTGCACTGAACTTATCACAGAGCTTCAAACTACCAAATGCCAAAACATCTCCAGTTGAAAGAAAAAGCTGCCCCAGATCCCAACAGAATTTGAATGGTGCTTCATTATAGTTTCATACTGGAGCAGGATCGTCCAGTTCTGGTTGCCATTAGAACATCTATGGCATAACGACGTTGGCAAAATCCTTCATGTGTGTGCTGCCGATGCAGCAGGAGCCTTCTCTGACATTATAACGGCATTGACATACAGAGGATCTTGTCAGTACAGCTATAACAGCCAACGTTTTGTACTGTAGACAAAGTCCTAGTTTTTCCATGCCTCAGTTCTCCATCTGTCTAGAGGGGATAACAACTCTCTCTTCCATGTGTCTCATCTATTTAGTTAATTAAGCTCCTTGCCTCAGGAACTGTCTCTTCCTATACCCACCCCAGCAAAACACATCCCTAGCTTGGCTCTGAACTTAGGAGAAGCCTCTAGGATCTCATGTCATGCATGTGATAAGACAGATTTCATAGATTTTAGGGTCAGAAGGGACCTATTAGATCGTCGAGTCTGACCCCCTGCCCTGGGCAGGAAAGAGTGCTGGGGTCAGATGACGCCAGCCAGGTGTTTGTCCAATCTCCTTTTAAATACCTCCAAGGAAGGGGACAGCACCATCTCCCTTGGAAGTGTATTCCATATTTTGACAACCCTCACTGTAAAGAATTTTTTCCTGATGTCCAGTCTAATGAGAGGACATGAGAGGACAACGCAACAAGAATGCAGTACAAAAGTAGTTGTGCACTCCAGGTAGATCACTACCCTGCTTTGCAGTCAAGAATGACAGGCGCTGCTCTGTCAAGCTCACAACAGAGGTGAATCTTAAAGGGGGAAGAGGAAGGGCCTGTAATGACCACATTAGTGACAGCAGCAGCAGAAGGAAGCTGCCTCATGGAAGACTTAAATGCGGAGGACTTAACATGCTTGCATCATTTTGTATCACAAACTGTACCTCTTCTAACAGTGCAACAAGCTATAAGTGATTGGACCCCAGTACTCTTTCCTGCCGTGGCAGGGGGGCGGACTCGATGATCTGCTCAGGTCCCTTCCGACCCTGCTAACTATGAAACTATGGACAGATCATGGGGGGGATCGAGGAAGTGGGGTGGGGTGTGTAGCTACATCACCTTGGCTGTGTGGCACATGCACAGTCAGCACTCTTGAGCTTTCTTACCAACTTTTCAGTGGTTCATGTTGGAGCTCCCCTCTGGCACAGGTCCCGAAACGATCGGGTGAGCCCCACTCCCTCACTTTTTCCACAGTTGAAGAATTTGGCAGCAGTAAGAGGAGGGGGATGCTGAGCTGTGACAGCACTCACCCCCTGGCTTCCAGAGCTATACCCCTTGACAGGTCTGCCAATCTGAAGAAGCCAGCTCAACTGTTCAAGCTAACATTCTCCAAGACCAACTCAAAATAAGTGATACTGGGAAAAAACTGACCATCTTACAATTGAAATTGCTTTAGCCAGCTTTCCACTTCCATCCATGGCATGCAGGAACTCCTTGAAAAATGTCATATGCACGTTTTTATTGTGGATCTGGAGCATGCCAATGCTGTTGAATATGAAAGTAACTGGCTGTTCTGCAGCAATCAGTCCCAATAAGTAGAGAAGGGTCTCTCTCAAGCAATCTTCTACAATCTCCCTTCTCAAGGAACTCTCCAAAGATACAGTCATAATATTCAGGGGAACAATTCGGATTTCACCTAGAAATCGACAAATGGAAGATACAAAGATATCTGTATGGGAAGCAGACTTCGCAACAGCTGCTATACACCCCACAGACTCTACATTGCTATTAAGATGGCTATGAATAACTTAAACCTATTCTGCATTTCTGGAACATCTTCCTGGGAAAAGTTCAAAGCATGCGACAAACATGAATAACCCCTCACAAGGCCTTGTCATGTGATCCCACCTATATAATTAATAACAGCATTTTACCTGTTTAAAATCTTTATTGAGAAGCATCTCAAAGTTCTCTAGAAACAACCTGAGAGCCAGTATCTGACTAACAAATAGCAATGTTACATAGGAGGTCAGGGGAAGGAAGACAAGATCCTGACATTCACTGGATGCGGGTTGGAATTTCAGGTGAACATGGAGCCAGACAAGAGCAGCAGGGAGCTATTCCCTTTCTTTGATGCTGTGAGAGGGGGGCCACGATAATCCCAAATAGGAAGAACTTTAATTTTGCAACTTATACTAATGTAACAAGGGATTCTGCTGGAATTCGACACAAAAATGCCCAATAGAATGCAGGAGAGAATTACACCTGGGCTGCAGGCAAAAAACTACAACTCTTGGTTCAAAAATGATACTTTTTAGTAGACCAACTGGGAATTCACAAGAAAATTGTCCTTTTCTGCAATTTTCCTTTGATTTTTTGTGATTTCCCAGTTGGTCTAATAAAAGGTATCATTTTTTGAAACAAGAGTTCTAGTTTCTTGTACGTCTTCTTGCCTCAGACCAACTCGGCTACCAAGTACACTCCTGAAACCCGGGCTGCATGGAGTTTTTCTACTAGATTCTTCATTTCAGTTAAAAGTGCAATATTTTTTATGTTTATAATTGAAATAGTTGGATCAGAAAAATCCCTCACATGGGCAACAGCTTGATTGATATAAAGTTGCCCAATACACTATTATACATGTAGAAGCCCAGTTCATTCCTACAAGCTCTACCATTGGAAGAGATCTTTGCACCGTGCTAGTCCTTCTAATACTTAGGTGGTGTACTGACTGAATTATACCTTTTACAAACATGGACATTTAAGCTAGGTACAGGCATTCAAAAATATCAAGGCAGACTTGATCTGAGTTCTGTGGTTGTTTGGAAGTGGCATAGTTTAGACTGGAAAGGTTGGGGTAAGGTTGTAGCTGGGATAGTACAGAAAGCGGGGAGAGGCCAGGACATTCTTATGTCTTTCACTGGACCAACTGGAGAGTTGGGAGAGCTCCTGAACAAGCTTTTTGGGCTGTGAAAGGGCACCTGATGCCCAAAAGTTACCTAGCAGCTCTCCTAACTTTGCAATTGGTCCAATAAAAGCTATCGCAAAAAACTCTGCCCTCTCTATAGTTCAAGCGGCATTACACAAACTGTTTGCACTAGCTCTGGGGACTGCTCTGCCCAGCAGCACAGCAACTTTATCCATCTGCCAATTTGAAGATACTATATAGACTAACTGAATCAGTGATACAAAAAGGGCTTCTCTCCTCTGCCCTCTGGCCTGACCTCAGACTAATACACCTAACTACTCCATCTGCTAATTTTGTAGACTTTCTTAGCAGCACTTTGGCAACAGCGGGGAGCAGACTGCCATACCACAAGAAGAGTGGGTGGACTTGTTGTTTCCTTTTTGACCCTGCTGACAGTTTAGGGATATAATCTATACCAGAGATTCACAACCAGGGTGCCATGGCATACTGGGTTGTTGTGAAATTAAGGGTGCTATTCAATAGTACCACTCTTAGCTATGCAAACACCAACACAGGATTCACAAGACAAACCCAGAGATTTCTAGTAGGAAGCCCTAATGTTGAAGAAAACTGTTCTCGCCAGCTCTTTTTCTCCTCCAAGCCCACAAGGGATGATTTGGTTAACATACATGCCACACAAAAGGACTCATGCAAGGAGAATCTTGCATAACCCTCTGAATTTGCATTTACAGGGCTGACATGTTCTGAAGGGCGAGTATGCAACTTAAGTGAACGACGTTTGATTAACACACACAAATTCTTAGACCTTCCACCAGGCTGTAGGCATCACAACAATAGCAGAGATGCAAGATCTCTAGGAGTAGAAGTGAAAAGAACATTACAAGCAGTGATATTCTAGCTTTTGACTGTATTTTAAAAATATATGCTACCATAGCTGTAAATTAATAAAAGTCTTGGTGGGTTTTGGATAGTCTAAGCTGTTATTAGAAACTTTGGGAGAAGTGTTCTGCTTGTATCAGACACACTTGTTATATTCTTTAAATATTACAACTATTAAAACATTATAATATATAACAAAATATATATAATTAGAACAGACTACAAATTCATTCTTGAGAAAGACAGAGGCTCAACTAGTCTTCTTACCAGGAGAGTGTTTCTTTGACTGCTTCAGTCCAAAGGCCTGGCAATGCTTCTCAGACAGTAAAAATATGGGTCTTTGTGTCACAATGAATTTGTTGCCACCGAGATCTAACTTTGTTTGCTCAAATGAGAATAATCCCAGCCCAGATATGTGGACACCCTGAAAAAAATTACAATAAATATATTTGATTCACCAGGAGATAAAGTAAAGAGCCTGTATAAGAGCTTAGCAAGGGGGAGTGATTGTCATAGACTTGGCAGTGACCTCAGGATGAAGATAGGACATTCAGTTAGATGCCCAAAACCTTTATGAAGTAATGTGAGAATCTGGGAAACAAACAGGAAGAATTGGAGGTCCTTGGAGTACAAGCCCAGAATGATGATGTAACTGGGAAAATGGAGACATGGTGGGATATTTCCCATGACTGGAGTACTGTTATGCATGGTTACAGCTTCTTCAGGAAGGATAGGCAGGGAAAAAAAGGAAGTGCTGCCATATGTATAAAGACAATGTGCATGTTTTCTGAGGTATGGTATCAACTGGAAGGTGGGCCAGCTGAAACCCTCTCAGGAAAGGTTACAGGGGAGGAGGATGTCATGGCAGGTCTGCTACAGGCCACCAAACCCGGAGGAGGAGGCAGACAAGGTCTTCTCTAAACAACCGAGGGAAGCTTCCACTTCACAGGACCTGGTTCTCCCGAGGACTTGAATTATATTGAGACATCTGCTGAGATGTCTCAGCTCAAAGAGGGAAACACAGCAGTGTACAGCTGTGCACAACTCCACCAGTCTGGTAGGAGTAGAGATATTTGTTATCTTTTGCTTTTTTTTTTTTAAATACAGACATTATTTCTCATTATAAAATGAACCAGAGTGTATATGGGAGACAAGATGATATAGCAGAAGGACCCCACCTTGTTCGTTGAGAGGTTCTGATAAACCAAGTCAAATACTTTGTCCCACACTTTTGTGATTTCTGAAATGCAAGTGAAAGACATGTCAGATTCTTGATGACAAACCCAAATAAAGGCCCCTCATTTGGTAGGAAAACAGTCCCTGTATTTCTGACCAGACTGAGATGGGATCAGCTCACACAGGATAAATATGACTTGGGGAGTAATGGAAGGTGCTCCACAATGTATTTTTCAACTGAGTTTTCATTTTCCATATGTGTTATATTTAACCCATATTTTGGCATATGTACATAAATCCAGCAGGCTTCTAGAGATCATTGTATCTCATGAGCTCCTGACACATTAACCACAATTAAAATTTGGCAAATCTCCACCCAGAAACTTACATTTCCTTCCATTCGACAAATGAGGAGAGTGACGCTCAGATAGCAAGTGACTACAGCTCAGCTCAAAGTTTGCACAGAAAGTTGATGGAAGATTTAGGAGCAGAACCCAGGAGTCCTAGCTGCAATGTCACTGCCTTAAACCACCAAGGCCCCATCCAGACAAGCATGGATGTTTCCTTCCCCAAGGACAAGTAGCACCAGCACACCTGTCCCTGGGGAATGTCCACATGTGTGCTGGCACATGGCATGTTACCCCAGGGTGCAGTAGAGGAGGCTGGGGCCAGAAAATGGGCTGACCCTAGCAACCTTATTTGAAGTCCTGAGGGCCTCAGGGAGCTGCAGCTATGGTGCTCCTGAATCTCAGAGCCTGGCTGGCAGCCACAGTATGGCTCCAGCCAGCCAGGCTCTGGTTTTGGGTGGCAGTGCATCTCAAAAGCCCTGTGATGTAATGTATCCTATGTGAATGCACCTCGTGTGCTGCCCTGCTTTTTTTGATAAGGGGTTTTTTGACCCCAGGATCTCAGTGCAGGGAACACAGGAAGCAGACCAAGAACACTTGTGTGTGCTTTTTATATTTGACATTCTCTGCAATGAAACGCATGATATCAGTCTCTGCAGGAACTTACCATCCACAGAGAGCTTCTGTAGTGTTGGGTAAATGTTCTTGTGGTTTTCCATGATGTCTTTCTTCATTTGCTCCAGCATTGTGACTGGGGGTTGTTCTTCTTCCTGGGTTTCCTCCAACCATCCTTTCTTTGAAATGTGGCTTCCTTTCTTCACGTCCAGAATCGCTGCAAAGAGAAATGCAGAGAAGAAGCTGCCAAACTCAGTATACAGGCTATCGTACAGGCTATCATACAGGGAGAAGGGGGATGCTGGGACAGGAAGGGAGAGGCGCTCTCTAGGACAGACTGTTGCTAAAGGACATACTATAAAGGGTCTCTGATTATCTAAAAAGTACGTGACAAATCATTTGAATCCCTTTTCATCTTGTCCTTATCCTACCTACCTTTTTTGTCTGTATTATGAGGATGTTTCTCTGTCTGCATTATGGGTTTTTCTTTCTTGGCCACATCATTCTCTTCTTTCATGGTTACTGTGTGATCACTCTTTTCAGTTTCCTTCTTCTCAATGCTGGAAGCAAGCAAAAGACATGGCCTTTTATTATAAAGCTAGCATCTGAATAGAGAGCCCAGCCCTGTTCCTGCTGCAGGTTGTTAACCATCTCATCACACCCCTATGACAGAGCTACTTTAATGACTGTTGAGGATGGCACCTTTTAGGCTAGCTAGTTCAGACAGGCAGGAGCTTTTTGTGCACAGCAACTTGTTTCATCAGGTGTTATGCTATATGTTGTTGCCCACAAAAGTCCATGACCCTCTGAGCCAGTTAATCACCAAGGTGCCGTCTTGCCCTACTTTCTGCTTGACTTCAGACTGAAATCCCTAATTACCATCACAAAGACTATTAATGGTTGATCATAAAAAACCTGAAGGAATATGTAACTCAAAGGATTTATATTGGACAGTAGGAACAATAACAAGTAATGGACAATAACAACAATACAACCACTCTTGATGGGGTCTTTCCTGAAGTCTAAGGTAGAAAGAATATAGTCTAACTAAGTACTGCAAGTTGTTCATCTCCATCCAGGTCTGTTTACCCTAAAAGATACCAAAGGTCAATACTGAAGCCTGAACAGCATGTGTTTGCATCTGGGCCATACCATACCCATGCCATTACATTCTTTGACTCCCATGCATCATATATTCTCCATACACCACACATTTCAGAAAACCCCAGTCCTTCTCTCAGTGATTCGGTTCATACTCTCAGACACTGGGAGCAGGGTTCCCTTAGTAGCTTTGTCTGCAAAGGGCTTAGACCCTAATGTTAGGTGCTAATGATCTTCAGCAAAGTGAGGGCTGAGCTGAGCAAGCTAGTCAGCAAATGGGAAAGGAAGCAAATGCTCTCACCTTGGAAAAGTCAGAGGTCTAGCCTTATGGGAAGGAGACTGTATTTGTCCAGAAGCTGATTCTCTCGGCATTGTTGAAGAGGGTCTTGTTGAGCTGTGTTTCACAGGCTTCTGCAGCAACAAGAGAAAATACAGATGACTCCACAGATGTTAGCAAGCAAACAACAAACAAGGCAAACTGCCCTTCTTCTACAATAGCAGCCTGCTCCTGATGCCCCAAAATCCTGGTACAAAATTCTCTCTCGATAACATTCATCCTTTTTGAATTTTTGTGGCCCAGTCTGTGGACTCCTTCCATGGTAAGAGAGCTTCTAACAAGAGACAACAAGCAAAACTCAGAGAAAGACATTGTCCAGGGATCCAGAAGATCCAGGTTCAGACTATGCCACAGACTTCTTTTGTGTCCTTGAGCAAGTCACTTAAGCTCAGATGCTCCAGCATGGTGATGCATGCAACACTGATTGATTGCACTGGGAATCAAGGATAAAAAGACCTTTGAGGATCTGAGCCTAGGAACAGAGTACACTACAAAGTAACATGGAGCCAAACATTGGGGCGTGGAGGGATATATTTTTAGAGCATAGGTTGAAACTACCAAATGTCCTGGAAAAGCTGCTACACAGAACTTATCACTGAGCTTCACACTAGCAAATGCCAAAACAGCCCCAGTTAGGAAAAAAGCTGCCCCAGATCCCAATGAAATATTGATGGTGCTTCACACGAGTCCATAGTGGTATCCTACTGGGGCAGAATTGTGTGGTTCCAGCTGCCATTATTACAGCAGCTTTACCATACTGACACACACTTCATGTGTGTGCTGTAGTCGATACAACAGAGCCTTTTCTGCCAATATAAGAGCGTCTACATGCAGTGGGTCTTGTCAATGCAGCTACAAGAGCCAATATTTTCTAGTGCGGACAAAGTCTTAGTCCTTCCATGCCTCAGTTCCACATCTGTCAGAAGGGGATAACACCTCTCTCTTCCACGTGTCTTCTGTATTTAGTCTGATAAGCTCTTCACCTCAGGAACTGCCTCTGCCTACATACATCTCCAGCCCCTCCCCTGATGTGGCTATGATCTTAGGAGAGGCCTCTAGGATCTCATTCAGTGAACATGATGAAAACCATGAGAGAACAAAGAAACAAGCATGCAGTCCCAGACCAGTTGTGCACTACTGATAGATCACCGCCTGCCTTGCAGCACCTATGGACAGGTGCTGCTCTGTCAACTTCACACTGGAAGTGTGTCTTCAAGGAGGAAGGGGAAAAGCCTGTTTTTCCCTTAGTATTGGCAGCAGCAACAGCAGGATGTAGAGTATACATTCAAACAATGAAAAACAAATGCCACCTCACAGAAGTCTTAAATGTGGAGGACTTTCATGCTTGCATCATTTTTGCACCATTGACTGTAACTTTCTAAGAGTTCAACAAGTTCCAGTGATTGAACAGATCATGGGCAAATCCAGACTATGGGGTGGGGGAGTGCAGCCACATACCCCTTTGCTTTGTGCCACATGCATAGCGAGCACTCGGAGCTCACAGGCTTGTCAGGTGGTTCCTGCCAGAGCTACCGCATTGATGCAGCTCCAGAACCCAGCACATGAGCATCACTGCCGCTCACATCTCTCTGTTTCTGGATGATGAATTTGGCAGCACTAAGAAGAGTGGGGCACTGCGGAGCAGCAGCAGCAAGTTCCAGACCTGTGCACAGTGACGGCTACGGCAGGAAACACCAGGTGAGATGGTGACATCACAGAGCTCAAAGGGCATGTGCCACACAGCCAAAGGGAGGCACAGGCACACCTCATGCACTTCTTCGACCCTCCCCTGAACAAGGTTGGCAGTTTGAAAGAGCCAGCCTGACTTAAAGTAAATACTGCTGAGAGACTGATCAACTTACATTGGGAAGTATTTTGACCAGCTTCCCATTTCTGTCCATAATTTTCAGGAACTCCTCGAAAAATGTCATATGTACTTTTTCATTTTGGATACGTAGAATGCCAATCTCATTGAACAGGAATGTAATCGGCCGTTCCTCCACGATCAGTCCCAATAAGTAGAGAAGGGTCTCTCTCAGGCAATCTTGTACTACATCCCTTCTCAAGGAACTCTCCAAAGATACAATCACTATATTCAGGGGAACAATGGGGATTTCACCTAGAAATCAGCAGACAAAGAACACAAAGAGATCTGTACGATCAGCGGACTTATCAACAGCAACCTTAAGCCCCACAGGAACTACATTGTTATAGAGATGGCTATGAATAACTTAAAACTTCACTAAGCCTTGTGATGTGATCCCACCCATATAATCAATAACAGCATCTTGCTTGTTTAAAAACTTTATTGAGAATGATCTCAAAGCTCTGTAGAAACAACCTGAGAGCCAGCAGCTGACTAACAAATAGCAAAGTTATGCAGGGTGTCAGGGGAGGAAAAAATGCTCAGCAGGCTCACTGGATGAGGACTGGAGTGTCAGGTGAACTAGAGCTGTAGGGTGATCCTCCCCCTCTTCGATGTAGTCAGAGGGGGCCCTTGATAACCCTGAGTATTTGGAACTTGAATTTTGTAATTCATCTCAGAGATGACAGGTCAACTTAGCTACTATTTTGATATCAACGTAGCTAGGGTTTGCTGGAATTTCACACACAAAAGGCCACTTAGAACAGTGGAAGGAATTACGCCTGGGCTGCATGGAGTTTTTCCACTTGATTCTCAATTTCAATTAGGAGTACAATCTTTTTCTTTCCTAATGAAACTGTTGAAATCAGTCCATTCCCTAGAATGGACAACAGCTAGATGGATACCAAGATACCCAATACACCATTATACATGTAGAAATATAGTTTATTCCTACGAGCTCTACCAGTAGAAGAGGTGTGCTTTCTGTCTACAAGGGTTGAGAACTGCTGATCTACACCATCCCTCCTCGTTGCAATGCAAACAGTGGCACTGGCAGAAAACTGCTTTCTTTCAAAATAGTTACAGCTGTATATGTACTCTAGAAACCATTGTTCTTGCCAGCTCTGTTTCAAGCTGAGCCCATAACAAATGATTTGGTTAATGTACATCAGACTGTATGCATCATGATAATAGCAGAGCTATGAGATTTCCATGAATTAAAGTGAAAAGAACGTTTCAGACAGAGATGTTCTAACTTTAGACAGTATTTTTAAAATGTATTCAACCAACCATGGCTGTGAAGACATAAAGTATGGATAAAGTCTAAGCTGTTGTTAAAAACTTTGGAAGGAATGCTCTGCTTGTCTCAGTCACTGCTGTTCACACACACACACACACACACACACACACACACACACACACACACAGATTCATTTTCATTGTAGTAGGTTAAAAATGCATTCCAAAGAAAGGCAGAGGCTGTAAATCAGTCTTCTTACCAGGAGTGTGCTTTTTCCTTTGTTTC